GAAGCAGCAAGGTGCAGCGTTGAGAAATAGGCCCACAAATGCAACACTTCGTGGTGCGCTTCAACTACCCCGCGCCCCTCTCGGCAGGGGCTCCCAAAGCGGGAGCCAGAAGCACCCGAGGCTGGTGTGGCTCGCTGCCTGCAGCCCGAGTGCCATCCGCTGTCGCTGCGGCTCCAGAGAGCACCGGGGGTCCCGGCAGCGTGGGGGGCGAGTGCACCCCTCCATGGGGAGAGACCGGGGCCGATAGTCACGGGAGGATTTTGACGTTGCCCCTGCGTGGACCGCAGGCAGGGCTGCGTTCAGAGCGCTGTACTTCGGCTGCTGCCAGCTGGCTGGAGCCCAGAGCTGCTGGGAGGAGAAAGTAAAGACAGTCAGGCACCTCTGCTGCGATCTTTCTTTTGCACGAGACCGAACTCTCTTCCTCAAAAAATGAGGGAGGCTGGCTGTCAGCCCAGAAGTGTGCTTGTGTGCTTGCTTGGCTGTATCTGGCTTTTCTGTTCCTGTGATATTTCTTCCTCATGTGCCAGTCTTGACCGTGTCTATCCTGTTCTGGTTTGTCTGGGTACCTTTGCTTTACATGCAGGCTGCTGTGACTCGGACAGTAGTTTTTCTAGCTTCCATGAGCCTTCCCAGTTGAACTTGCTATAGCTGTTCTCCCTCTAACTCCAAAGCACCTCCTCAGTAGGAAAGCATGTTTAGGCCCTTTTTTTCCTGAGGAGACTGAGAGGGACAGGACAGTCACTGCCCCAAGAATATCAGGAGGAACTAGCTGGATGGAAGGAGAAGCAGGAATCAGGTTAGCTCAGTGCCAGCACTGCTCACCCATGGACTTCGTTTTGCCCTGAAGTATCTGTATGGTGTGGGACAGCAATGAAGGAGGTGTGAGCATGGCTGGGTCTGAGCTGCAAAGGGAGGTGTGTGCCCGGGGGATGTTTCTTCACTAGCCCAGTGTTTTCTACTTCTTCGGAGGTTTTCTACTCCTGACAGGCTTGTGGGCTCAAATGCAAGGATAAATCACTGGCTTTCCATCCCATTTGTGACCACACTCATTTTGGCTACAGCTTTAGGCTGGAAGCCTCTGCTGCAGGTGTGGCTGATGCCCTGTTATTCTGGCTTTCAGGAGGTGCTGTTCCCAGCCTCTGCAAGCTGTTTGATTTAGGGGGAATCAATCTCCTAAACTATCCTCCCTGTTAGAACTGGCTAGAACAGCTGGGCTGCAAGCAACAGGGAATTACCAGATAGATTCCCTCCCCCTGCCATACCTCCCATCCCCAGTCTTGAGTGCCTGGTGGGGGAGCAAACTCCTCCATCTGTCCACAATCCCCCCAGGTGGGTAATAATAGATGCTTTATATAGAAAAATTCCATTAGACTTGACAAGAGATATATGCCAGTGCTTCCTTGCCAGGGCCCCATCTTGCTTTGTTCTGTTCCTCTGCAAGAGACTTGCTGTAGAAGCTATTATGGAGGGGAAAAAACCCCTCCAAACCACACAAAACACAACAACTTTTACATATAATGGCATTTATAGCCAGAAGTGGCTGTGCTGAGCTGTGTAGAAAAGAAAATTACAGTGGGATGTCATATAACTGCGGCCACCAAGATGCAGTCGGCTACCCAGACGTCAGATGGCAGCTGCTGAGAGCAGGAAAAGGGCTCTGTGGGGTGCTGTATCTCGGGCTTCTCTTAGTGCCTCTGAGTATTAAAGCAGCCAGGGTAAGAGGTGTGTTCATGCCGGTGTCTTGGCCAAAAGTGAGTAGCTAGCAACTTAAACTCTCTCTCCAGTTCTCATCATCCAGCTGTTTTGTTCCAGCGTGGGGTGTTTCGGAGGACATTTCCATTCTTTGTTCTGCGTAGCTCCCTACTAAGCTCAGCAGCGGTCTGCCGCAGGGATGGCTGTGGTGCACTGTGGGTTTGATGTGCAAAGGAAATAGAAGCCCTTTCTGCAGCTCTTGTAGGAGGGGTCCTCTTGTTCAGGACTGGGTAGGAGATGCTTTTGTGTCGTTTTGGTTTTTTTCCAGCATGAATGCTCCAGCAACACTCAATTGTTGTGTTTTAATGCTTATGGGTGATGAGAATATCGGTTACAAATTACTTGGGGACAGACCCCTTCCTGTCTGCACAGCACACATGTCTGCGTCGGTCATCAGTGCACCCAAAAGCTACTCTGTAGTATCACATAGCTGCTTGCTGGGGTCGGCACAACAGAAAGCAGAAGGAAGCCCCATTGAAGCTGTGTGTGATAGACACTTCAGGCTGGGAGCCTGAATACATCTAAACCCTTTTGTCACGGTTGCACTGCCTTTCTGTAATCCTGTGAAATTGCATCCTCTCGACTTCCCTGAAGTCTGTAACACGTGAGAACCCATTAAGCTGTACTCTGCTCGTCTTGGACAGATGAGTTGACATCGTCTTGGAATTGGATTTATGTGTATGGTGCAGATTTCAGTGTGTTCAGACTTCTGCTATTTCTTCAAAATTCAAAAGGTGTTTGGAAGAGTATTTAGAATGTGAGAAAGATTCCCCCCTCCCCTCAAGTACCCAGGCAGGCACTCACTTGCATTGGGACTGTAGCACCGATGCGGCTGAATGCAAGGAGCAGCGACTCCCCTGAGGTCAGCAGCAGCGTTTGCAAGAAGCTCCGTGGAGCAGAAGTAGCTATTCTCTGCAGCGAAGCTGCAAGGCACTGAGTGTCTTGGAAAGCACCTCTTGGAGGTGAGTGGGAAGGTCAGGACAGCTTTGCAGGATGCCCTTGACAGCCAATGTGAACGTCAGGCCTGCTGGCATGAGAGGGAAGCATGGAGCAGGAACGTCCCTGGGCAGCTGCATTTGTTGTAACAGAGCTGCTGGGGAGGCTGCGTGTATCCGTAGTTCAGCGTAGATAAGCCTCAGGTGGGGACCATGGCCCTGCCCTGTATTTACAAGGGACGCAATATTGGAAGGCTTAATCCTGGGGTTTATCCTGAGTGTGAGATGGTGGCTTAGGAAAGGTTCAGTTTAACAATTGCATCAAGATGAGGAATATTGATCCCCTTGCTGTACTGATCCCTTAGGGGCAGATGAAGGCTTCATTTTTTTTCTGTGAGGCAGAGAACTGGCAGCAAGCTGAGTATTAGCTAGCAACTTTGTCAGCTGCATTAAAGGCTGTGGTGCATAAAGCTGCATTGTGTGACTGTGTGCAGAGGTAATGGAGGGGAGAGTTAAATCCTGAACTGGTTCTGGTCTCTCCTGGGTCAGAACCAAGGCTGAGCTCACAGCAGAGCCACAGTTACAGAGGGCATCTGCCAGGGCTGGACTGTGTAGGAGCCTTCCCGCACCTCCTCTGTGCCTTGCATGAATTCCCACTATGTTTTAAGTGCAAACCTGTTGCCCATCAAGTACTTGTGACAGGTTCAGGCTGCTGGGTTGGGGAACAGAGCATGCACCTCTTTCTGGGAGACTCATGATGTTATACAAGATACAATGACTCCTGGTCTTCTGATAGGACTGGTCGACCTCACTCCACATAACTGAACAAAAAAAGCGTGCTTAAGCACAGGACACAAATACGCAGCACACAAGGGGAGGTCCACACACAATTGTGTCATTTTATTATGTTTGCCTGGACTCTGGCTTGACATGGCTGTGGTCTGGAAGGCCAGTGTGCCCTAGGCATCCAGGTGCAGCGGTGCAGAAAGCCTGATGAAGCAGAGCATGCACAAAGTGACCAGCTTGGAAGCTCTCTCCTTTGGCTAGAGGTAATAGTACTACACTGCACTTGTAATGGTGCACTTTGATGCAAAGTGGCATTCAAGTATGTATGTGCTGGCAGCCCAGGAAGGGAAGACAGACAGACGGACACAAAAATGTAAGTGCCTAGGCAACACCAGCTCTATTAAGGGGATGCTCTTCTGAGAGGACTGACTAGCAGGGCCAGGCTTGGCTCAGGGAAGCTTGGGTATCTTTGTTCAGGATGGTGGCTCACAGCCCTGAGTGATACCGAGAGGCACTAGTGGGAGTACGTACAAAGTGCTGTCTTGTCAGTGAGCATACGGAGTGGAGGCAGACGTGTACTTTTTGCAGACACTGTTAGTAGGCAGGAAGAACTGAGATCAAGTGGGGCTAACAACAGCTTTCTGTGTGAAGACTATCTCCTGCCTGCCAAGGATGACCAGGGTGCTTGTTGCATTGAAGCATGCAGAGGCCAGGAAGGGGTAGATGAGTTTGTTTTCATTTGTTCCTGGACCCCCTCCCCAGATTGCTTCTAACCCATTTCCCTAAGTCCTCACTGTGTCTCTCTCCCAGCAATTGCTCTCAGTTGCTGTCTGTCTGAGGGAGCCAAATGAAGGCTCAGGGTTGGATACCGGAGAGGTTTTGGTTCCCGACACCTTCCTTGATAAATGGATGCTGGGGACAGTGTAAGAGAAAAGGATCCAATCCCTATTGCTTTGCATTATCGCTAAAAATTAAACTGGGGACTTGGAATAGCATATGGTGGTCTATGGTTTATAAATGGGAGAAGCTAAGATTCTCACTGCAGGTCATGGAAGCAATTGGTGACAGAGATGTGACAGGGCTCTGGGTTTCCCTGGTCTGTTTTCAGACACAAGGTCTATGCTTTTGTTTCTTCTTTTTTTTTCCTGCTCTTTAACTTTCAGAAAATATGCCCAAAGTACCTCTTAAAGTTAAGGGGTGCCCAAGTCTGGGAAGTGGGAAGGAGGAGTGTCTAGCTTGGGCTGGGTGCTAGAGGTTAGCAGCTTGGGAGAGAAGTAAGGTCTGCAGGCCTTTTAGGTGATCTCATGTCTGACTGAGAACATCAGTGCAAGCGGTGAGGCAGAGTCTCTATGTGGTGCATTCACAAATCTATTCACATTCTTTGCATAGTCCTCTTGAGGAAAGATGGATGCTGGCCCCTGGCATGGCACGCACATAGGCAGAAAGGTTGTGTGCTCTACAGCCTGGAAGCAGCACCATGCAGAAATCATGGGATGCCCTGAGGGAAGTCAGCTCCAGCATGCAGGCCCAGTTCAGCATGGCTATGGCTCCACCATCACGCTGCTGTTGGTGACACGTACACCGTACCATCCCTTCCAGAATAGTGTGTCCTGGCCACCATGTTCAAAGCGGACAAAGCGGACCCCGGGGCCATAGTTGGAAAAGGTGTGGGAGATCTTTGGGACAAGAAACAAAATGGTTGTTGGTAAATGTCAAACCACCATGAACCTACTCTTCTTTAGTGCACAGAGCCTTCAACCCCACCTGCCCAAGTGACACCTACCAGGTTGGGTAACAATAAGGACACTTAACAGTGGGAACTGCTAGTAGAAGCTTTGATCCCATTGTTATTCAGAGGCCATTGAACCTCTCCTGGTTGGGCCTCTCCTCTACCTTGCACCTGCAGTGGTGGCTCAGCAAGTTTTATGTTAGGTAGCCTCCGGTATAATCCCTTTGTTCAATCACAGGGTCATGGTTCCACAGAACACATGACAGAGCCTCCTCCTTCTACAGGAGAACTCTCCTGCTTCTCTGCTTGAAAATATTCCCGATTCATGCAGGTTGGGTGTCACCTACTGCGCCCACAGCTGTAACTCACCTCAGTCCAGTTGGCATCGTTGTCTTGTGGGATGGCAATAGTCTCACTTTTGTACTCAGCCAGAACATCCTCATTCTCTGAGAGCAGCTTCACACAGAGCTCATAGAGGCAGCCGGCATCACTGCGTCCTGCATACCTGCAAGGAGATCCAAGCCGCTAGCCTTACTTGCGTGAACTCTGCAAAGAGCCAGAGCAAGCAACTGCATCTTGCTGAACGTAGGCTCTACCAATCTCATCAGGTTACTGGGGCCTTGGTTTGAGGTGGGAATCTGTAATGGTTTTGACCCCAACCCACCACTTCCCCTCATTCACAACAAGAACCTGGTCTTTAGAGGCCATATGCACCAACAATGTGAAGCTTGTGGGAGCTGCCTGTGGCACTGTAAGCCAAGACTCAGCCCTGTCCCACATCTAGGGGATCCTGGCAGCTGAGGTTTTAAAGCCCAGTGCAGGTATATGCCCTCCCCGCCCTTCCTTCTCTTTCTTGACTCTGCCTTTCCTCTGAGGCATCCTTGCTACTTACCAGTCTTTTACCACAACTTTAGGCTGGGTTGTATCCATCAGCTCTTCCCAGTAGCCCTCAGCCCTAAGGTCAATGACCTGAGTCTTTCGACACCACCTGAAGCACAAGATGTTAATTGGTATCACAGTCTCTCCTGGGATTGGGGGAACCAAAAATGTCCCCTTCCCTGAAGAAGAGAAGAAAGCAGCCTTACTCATAAGATGTAACAAAGTATTTATGGACTTCTTCACTAGGAAATTCTTTTCCAAAGTCCCCAGGGAGCTCTTCAACTTTCCAGCCATCACCTCCATTCTCTATTTCTCCCCAGTGCTGCAAGTCTTCTGCAAATGGCAGAAAAGAGACTCGGATGAGTCTTTAGTTTCCGTGGGCCTGGGGAACCTCACCGCCTCCCACGGGAACCTTTCTCTGGCTTGTGAAAGCTGTGCTGTTCGATGCAGCGCGGAGCTTGTATGTAGACTATGGCGATGTTTAAGTAGAGGCCAGGCAAAAAACTTAACACACTTTAACATTCCCCACCAAAACGGCTATGTATGTGTGGGTTAATTTAAGAAACTACTCGAGTGAAGTTATTTAGGTATTTTGAACTGCATGTCAGCACTTCCAGTGTCATAACATAGGAGTAGCCTGGGGAGATATGCCGATTGCTTTATTTCTGAATTTTTTAAATTGCTAAGTGGTATTTCTAGAAGCAGTATGGCCCTAAACATTGGGCTTTTCTGGTCTTAGCCAGAGGGAAGGTGGATGTTGGAAAAGCTTGCAGAAAAATAATCTGTAAACAAAATGGAGAAGCTGTGTTGATATTGCTTTGGTCTATGATGTGTGAAATGTATTTGTTGCTGCTTGGGTTATGAGGCTTGGTTAGTGCTGCTTATTGCTAAGCATCTTGTAGACATCTGGCAAGCGAAGCTCATAGGTTATCAGAATAATGGGGTCTGTGCACAGCTCTGTAACATGGGCTGTAGTAAGGAGGGTACAAACAAGATTTGCCTGATCTGCTTCCAGGAGGGAAGCCTGAAGTGCCTGGTGAGCTAAGGGCAGGCTAGCTCCTGAGTGGGGAAAGGCTTGATCTTTCCTGTCATGGTTTGGCAAGAAGCAATCTCAAAACCCGGATGCCACTACCATTACTGCACTGGACAGGGGTTCTTCAAAGGACATTTTTGTCTCTCAAATGTGATTCTGATCCCTGCAGGGGCTTATATAAAGTTGATGTCAAATACAGCCCTTTGGAAAGGGTGATTATCAAAGGCCTTCATGCCCATTAAATGATTTGACTGCATGCATCAAGTCATTTCCCTCAGGCAAGAAGAAAATGCTGCAATCTGATGGCAACTAAAATCTTTTTTTCAGAGACTGGAGATGCCCCATTCCCAGTGACTGGTCATCTCCATGAAATCTTGGGGCTTGTTAACGCTTGTCTCTCACCTTCACCACATGGGTTCTTGATGAGATTCTTCCTTTTCTTACTCAGGAAGTAGAAGTTTTGCCAGTTCTCTGCATTCTCCTGTGACTCTGCTCCAGTGAGGCCTTCCTGGTGACACTTCAGGATCCAAAGTGCGGCTCCATCGACCAGGTTCTTCCACTGGCAGCACACCAGGCGGCACGCCAGCACCAAATCCACTGCAGGTATGGAAGCCAGGATTTTGATCAGGACTGCTTCAGGGAGGGACTCCATCCTTGGGCCAGGCTGGATGGAGCTTTCTGAGAAAGAGGCAAAGGAGTGGTGGCACAGTGGCCCTTCAGATATGGGGTCCCCTACCCTCAGTGCTGTCAAACATTGATGCTTTAGAAAAAAAGGGAAATAAGCATGTTATCTGAAAGCATGATTTTGGGGGCACAGATTGCTTCCTAATCTCAAGTCCTGACCCCTATTAAGTTAATACCCTGAAGCACGTGAGCAGATTAATATTTTATGTTTTGAGTGAAGCCCTTAATTAAATCCACCCACAAAATGCGAGTAGTTGACATCTGCGACTGCGGACGGTTTGCCAGTTTCCCGGGCTGGAATCGGTCCTTCCAGAAATCTCTGCCGCTTGCAGAAATCAGCTTCTCAGTAATGACTTCCTCTGCAGAGGGAGGCACCTGGGTGTGTGTTCTGCCTTTAAGAACATCACTGATAACAAATGCTGCAGAGCAGTACCTAAATATCAGTGGTGAGCATTTTGCCAACCACATTTGCAGTGGTTTGCTCTATATCTGAAAGGCTTTCCCTCAAGGGGCTGGCACTTGATCTTCTTAGTCATGAGCCTGTATAAAGTATAGGTCTGAGCAAACTGAAAATAACTCTTAATATTTTCTAATATTCCTTTTTCTATGGCTTTATAACCTGAGCAATTAATTCAGAATTGTGTGCTTTAACTCCATGTGCTAGTTCTACACTCTGACCCCCAACAGCGCTCTGCTGCCCTGAGCTCTAGGGCCGGGTGCTGCAGGAATAAGGAGAGGTGAGTGTGCAGAGCTGGAGCCCGTGTCACCACTGTGGGATGCAGTGACGCTGCCTTTATCTCAGCCGAGTCCCGGTGCTGGGAAGCTGCTGAGACGGCAGCGAAAGAGCACCAGGAACACAGCAGTGGGATATCCTGACATGCTACTTGTTGAAATATGGCAGTGCCAAATCTGGCAAGGGAGGGATGAAGCAGGGAGTCACGACTATAACAGCACCCTAAATCTAGATGTTCCCGATGCAGAGCTATCTGCATTGCAGACAGGAGGAGGAAACTGTCATTTAAAATTCCCTGGCTTTTACGGGGGCAGCACTGAGGCTTTCCCTTCCCTCCCCTCGGCTCTCAACCACAGCCCTGCAGGGTAAAAAGTGATTTTAACAAAACACAAAACAAAACAAAAAAAAAAAGAGAGAGAGAGAGAGAAAAGAGACATCGTGCTGCTTTCCTCTCCGGCGGGAGTTTCACGTGCCTCGCCTGCTCCCTGCCTGGCGATGGACTTAGCGAGGGCTTCCCACGCAGGCAGGGAAGGGGTGAAGGTCCCTGGCTGACTTTCCTTTTCCTCTCCGACCCACAGCATCTCCAGACGGCTGCGCCATCGGCAGACCTCGCCTCCCGGGGTGGCCTCGGTCCCTTGCCGTGCGTGGGGCGCGCTCTGCATCCCCGTCCGCCCCCACCCTCCTTCCTCGGTGCCTC